TGCGGAGCCCTCTTTCTCTTTCTCCTCCGTTGCTCTTTATCGCTTTATCTCCCACCGGACCCTCTAACCCTCTCTCTAACCGCCGTCTCTCTCTCTTTCCCTCTATTTCTCGCTCCTCTCTTTCCCACCCCTTTTCGTTTCGACCCTTTTGCGGTGTGGCTCGCGTGCGTCTGACGGACTCGCGCGGGGCGGGGCGGAGCGGAGCGGAGCGAAGCGTGTGCATTGAAACGGGAGACCCCGAGTAGTCACTTCGATCGATCTCGATCGATCTGACTAGTCGTTCACCCGGGGTGAATCCTGGCTTGATGATGCTTTCCTTCCTTTCTTCTTTTCTTTCTTTCTTTCTTTCTTTCTTTCTTTCTTTCTTTTTCTCTTGTTTCCGGCGTGGCGGCCGAAATTCGCGCGGCGGCCTCGTCGTCCCGCCTCGTAACGAGCGCCTCTCGTTGCGTTTAATTAGTCGAAGGTTAATGAGGAGACGGACCGAAGCGTCATCATCATTGTTCCGGCGCGTGTTTGGCCAGTGAGTTTCGACGAACCCCTTCTCCTCGTTTCGTAGTCGGTTGTTTCTGCGTCGTCTCGCTCGCTCGTTGATCGCCAGGCCGAGAGGCCAGAGGGTGGGTCCGCGCGATTTAATATCGGGAACGGTCGTGTAACTGCACTCTTTTCGGTCGGATTAGCGGGATCGTTGGTGTTTTTCGACGACAACTCGAACACAACACCCTCCTCGCAACGGTTTTCACCGGTTTTCCGCGGCTGCTGGGCTCCAATTTCCAACGCTCGACACTCTCCCGTGACGTTTGTGTCGCGAATTTTAGAGACTGCTGAGTGTCCGTGATCGAACGGACAATTAAGGAACGTGAAATTCTAAATTTTTTCCCTTCTTCGTGCTTCTCTAATTATCTCTAACTCTATTAAGAAAGACAAGGTTGAAAATAACAAATTCGATTATTTGCAAAATACGAGACTCGGTGTATTTTCAGAAGAAGAAATATTGTGATAAACTGTGCCTTATTCCGAATAAAACAATTCGGAATAAATCAAAGATAATTAAAAAGTGCCTATTCACTGGTGAAAAATATCTACGAAAAATCTCAAACTATTCTATCGACAATGCAGTGAATTATAGAATAGAAGAAACTGAGTAGTCGATCAAAAGAAACAGAGCTA